TGTGGTTGAGAACCATAATTTGGACCAACAAACCACTGATACTCTTGATCAAACTGGTAATAACATTGTATGGTAGAGTGTCCTGTTTTCCCACACACTTGACACACTAATTTTGGTTTGAAAAATCCTCTTCCTCTACCTCTACCTCTACCTCTACCTCTACCTCTTTCTCTTCCTGTCATTGGATTGTTATTCAGCTGAGCACCTCCTGTAAAGAACTGCTGTGCATTAGGGAAGTGGCAAGGTCTACCAAAAACTTGGCTATAAGGACTGTTATTCCCAAACTCAACACTTGCTCCTGTAGAATAACTCGGTGCTCCTACTGTAGTGCTATTATTAGTACCAGGCTGATAACTATAGCCTGATAGTTGATGATAGTTGGATAGCAACAGCTTAAGTTTAGGTGTTGTACTCATTACAAGGTTAGGTACAGGTGCAAGTGAGTTACTAGATTCTTGTCTAGAAGCAAATAAGGCAGATGTCATTTGTTCATGAAAATTGGTCAGACTATTGTGTTGTCGTTCCAGTCTTATCTCATGCTTATGAAGCATGAATTGAGAGTCCTGAATACTTGCTGTACTACTATTGTAAGTCAAGTTAGCAACCACCGCATCACACTCTGGACCAAGACCATCCAGAATATACAACAAAAGCTCCTCATCACTAAGATTAACACCACTAGCTACCAGCTCATCTCCTAACTCTTTCATTTTCAAGACATACTCGTTGATGCTAGATGAATCTTTCTTAGTAGTTTGTAATAAGTTTCTTAGATGTAGAGTCCTAGCCTTTGAAATAGACTGAAAATGTAACTCCAATGTATTCCAAATTTCATAAGAGCTCACACATTTTGCTACATGTCTGAACATAGATTCAGATATCGATGAAAACAACCAGGTTACCAAACATTGATCAGTTCTTTTCCAATTAAAATACTTAGGGTTTGGCCTTTTTATAATATCTTCAGAATTATCAGACTTTTCAATAACAAGCATAGGTGGACATATTTTCTCACCAGTTATAAATCCATCAAGATCATGAGATGCAAGTGCTGGAAGAATTTGAGAACGCCAGCGACTGTAATTCTTTTCTCCAAGCTTTACTGAAACCATAGGAAGTGACGACTGTATACTGGAATTGACTCAGTTCCAGCACAGGTTTGTTCTATCTCTGATTTTGAAGTGAGATTAGAGAATTCAGGAATCGATTGAGCCATTGACGCTTGTCTATAGCTCTGATGCCATGAAGGTTTTTATCAAGAAACAAGAAGGATCTAGAAGAAACAAGAAATAAAACAGAGAGAAAAGGCAGGTTAACAATAGTGCAGATTTGAGTGAATCAGAGAGTTCGAGTAGTGACTTTTCACATCGGCATTTGGATGACAACGAAGACGCTTCCACTTCTTTGACTTCTTTAGCTTCTTCCTCGCTCGTAGAAAAAGAGTATGCTAGGCGTGACAATGGTGAAGAGAGATTGAGAGGGGAGCTGCGTGCGTGAGAGAGATTGAGAGTGAGAGCTGCTGGGCGCTGGTGGCATGAGAGAGAAAAGGCTTAGTTTTTTTTAAAGTTAAATGTGGGTAGCCGTGAGTATCACCCGACCCACCCATTATTTTCATGAGCGGGCTGGGCACAGGTAAACATGCATGGTAGGGTAATTATTATGGTTACCTGTATCCACCTATTTTATCTGGATACCCATGGACCCGCGGGTACGGGTCCAAGTTTGCCGGGTCTAAATTCATAAACAAATAAATAGCGGTTTAGTTGAAGAGTTGAAGTAAATGTTGGGAGCACAGGCTAGCAAGCGGATCCAACATCAAGAGCCCATATCCAATTCTAAAGTTATGGAGGTGGTGCTCTAATAAATGAAGGTTACCATGTCCAACATCAAGAGCCCATATCCAATCCAACATCAAGAGCCCATGTCCAACCCTAAAGTTACCATGGGGCCCGCCTAACATTTTTACCTTATAGGGGAAGGTTCTAATTATCAATAAGATTATTCTTGGGTAGTGGATTTCAAACCAATATAAGTAAGTTTAACCTCCACTTTTGGTTGCTTCTATCCCTGGTTTAGCTTTTCTATTCTTACGCTTTAGGAGAAAAGCCGAACGACATGCACCCACCCATAGTTTGCTATAAAGACAATTTGGTACCCAAAAAGTTTGAAAACGTTAGTTACCTACCTTCCGTCTAAAATCTGTTAGTGAAGTTCGTTTAAAGAAGGACAATATGATAATTTTATATCCAAAAAAAAAAAAAAATATATAACATTCTGCATTGGTCACGTGTCCATTTTCTCTCTTTAATATTAATTTTATAAAAATCTTCCTTCTCAATTTAATTATTTTATTTTTATAATTAATTTTAATTAAAATTTCGTCTTCATCTTCTTCATCTCTTGCCAAAACCACAGTTGCTAGAGCAAGGACAACAACCAGCAAAAATAACCAAAGCCCTAAAGAAACCTCACTCAAATCACCAAAAGATTCAATGCAAAAAATCCCGAAGAACCACTCTCAAACACTCAAAAGAACCAAAACACGCAAGGCATAGAAGGGTTGGGGCAAAACCTCAAACAAGTGGTGTGCCAAAACTTGGAAAATCAATCATCAATGCAAAAACTGATCAGAAATCCCCAAAAATCAAACAAAAACACAGAAAAAACACTCCCAATCAATCTCCAACCATCAATTTCCCATCAGAAACTCTGAAAAAGACCAATCAATCCCAATTCAACAAACAACAAAAACCCTAGGAATTCAATCGGCGGTGAAATGTAAGCAAACGGCGACGGGAAAAATGGGGTTTTTGGAGAGGGCACATCAAAAAGACGATTGGCAGGGAGAGGAAAGGTTTTTGGTGACGAGGCTTCCAGAAAATGGGTGCTCCCCTTTTTTTTGCCCTTTTATGAGAGAGATGAAGAAGATGAAGACGGGAAGAGAGAGAGGAGAGATGCTTTTGATCTGGCTAGCTTCTAGTCCATATTTCGGTGCCGGGTTCTTGCCTAGTGACTGGAGGAAAAAGAGGGACAAGAAAGGAAACAAAGAGAAGGGAGAGAATAAGAGAAAGAGAAGAGGGAGAAAAAGAAGAAAGATAAGAGATTTGGACAGGTTTTATTAATGTTTTATTAATGCAATTTTTTTTTTTAACTTTTTTTTTATTTTTTTATGCACAAACCCTAAAACATAAAATGTGAAAATTACCCTACAAAAATGATAGAATATTGATAACACCATTTTAGTTAACAGATTTACTAACGGATTTGGATAGAAAGCGAGTATTTGTCATTTCAAAACTTTTTAGGTACCAATTTGTCTTTACAGTAAACTCTGGATAGGTGTATGTCGTTCCCCCTAAGGAGAAACATGAATCGTAAATTCAAGAGGGTGACAAATGTTGAGATAGGAAGAAAAACTATACCTAAATGAATTCCCTGATCTCGGGATTTCTTTCGCAAGTCCCGAATTGTAAGTGCAGCTGGAGGATGTACAGTGCAAAAAGGAAAACCCTTAAGTTTGCAACATAAACCCGTATTCCCTGTAATTTGCTGCGATGGATATCCAAATCGCCAAGTTGGGATTTCGCCCTCCAATTCATCTTATGACAAGTAGAAGTATAAGCCATATGCTGTATGGAAAGATTTTGGAATGTGCTCGAAAGGTTATCGTGCGAAAAATTCAAATAATCTATGACTGCTGATTCTCCAAGTTGGGAAGGTATTGTGCCATTGAAAAAGTTGTCTCAAATAAGGAGAAATCAGTTTGGAAGTCCACCAATATTGCATGGAATAGGACCGTTAAGTTTATTATCAGAGAGTTCAAGACATCTAAGATTCAAGAGTCCTCCAATTCGTAGTTGGTATTTGACCAGAAAGGAAGTTTGAAGAGAGGTCAAGGAAAGCAATTTGCGTTAACTTGGTGAGCCCATGTGGAATGGTACCGGGTATATTGTTTCGCTGACAGGCAGGGACGAAGTTAAGATTTTTATTAAGTGAGTTTAAAACATTTAATTTAAGTTGATAAATTTAAAATAAAATTTTATAAGGTCAATATGAATTTAAGTGGAATCAAAATTGTAAATATTATAAAACATAAAATCTTTTCTGATTTTTTTCAAAATTTGAGTAGATTCCATATGAATTTAAATGGCGTTAAAATTATAAATATTATAAAATATAAAACTTTTTTATAATATTATAAAATATAAAACTTTTTTTTTTTTTTCTCAAGATTTAAGTGGTTTAATATGAATTTAAGTGAGATTAAAATTATAAATATTATAAAATAAAAGCCTTTTTTTGATTTTTTTAAAGTTTTAGTAGCTTCAATTGAACCTATATATTGTAGTGTGGATATGTCCTTGGTGACAGGATTGCCATTATTAAACGATTATTGTTGCTCATTTCTGGAGGAATCGAGCCATTCGTTTGGTTGGAATTAATCAAGATACAATTGTTTGAGATTGATTAAATGACCCAGTGTTTATAACATCTATTTCTATGTAATTCTTGGATTAGTTCATATGGTTTTGTTTTAAAATCACCTAAATAGTTTTATTTTATTGATCAAGGGTAATTATCAGGGAATGAGATTGGATTGATCATTGATAAGTACTGCATGTATGCTTGCTTTATGTAAGGGAGCTTTCTGCCCTGCTATGTAGATTGGACTTTGCTTTAATCGTAAGGAAGTTGACAGAAAAAAAAAATGAGGGTTTTTAGCACATCTGTTTTCACCTTATAACCTACAGTCATTTTCAGCTTGTCTTGCTTGTTTGGTCTATTTATGGTCCAGTGGGATCGGCCCTTCCAACTGCTATTCAATTCTAGGTTGTGTCACTGAACATTACCATTTGCTCCCTGTCGCCAAAAAAAACCTATTTTCTCAATGATAATGATTTAAAAAAAATTAAAATTGTTGAAAAGATTACAAAGGGAGAAGGAAAAATCAAATTGCTTCCGGATGTATTCCTATAAAATACATGTTAGGATGCAGCAATCTATGATTCGGAAGCAGCTAGAAAGAGGGCCCCGGCTCCAGAGCCCCCGTGAGAGTGTTCAACAATTACATTTTCTGAGAGTTCATTCCCTAGCATTTCCCATACAGTGCTGTGCAAATAATTTATGAAGACTCTATATTGCTCATAAAGTCCATCTTCCAACACTTACGACACTTCTCTTATGTTCAATTCTTCCAAGCTTGTTTAGTATCCACACAGGCCACAATGCCAGCTCCAACCATACGTGCTCCACGTTCTGCAATAATGTGACAAACTTCCACTACAACTTCTCTCGCCATTGCAGTAGAATCTGTTATCTGGAACAATCAATGTAATAGTTAACTAAGACAGACAATTTCAGGTGATGAGTTGAGTAGCGAATCTGATTATAGAAGTACAGAAGAACCAATTAGTTTTCAATATGATTAGACAAGGAAGATTGAAGAATCTATGGGATTGTTATTATATTTAATATTTGTTTCCAGTCAAGTTCTTGGTTGAATGGCAGTTCCAAGTCAAGTTCTTGGTTGAACGGCAGTTCCAGGGTCTCATTTTTAATATGGTATCAGAGCTCTTAGGGTTTAACGAGTGAGCCTCCTTCCTTTCCAAGCTTTGTCGTGGTCTCCATTATTTTATCATCTTTCCGGCGCCAGCCAAGATCTATCACAGAAGCTGGGATTCACCGTGGAGATTGCTGGTCACATAGCCTAGGGGCTACCGCCGGCTCACTACTATATGACCTGTGACGTTGAGGCAAATGATAAAAGAAATTCTCTCCCCTTCTTTCTTTCCTCTTGTTCTGTCTTTCTTCAATTTTCAAATTACAATAAATGGATCAGTTCACTGTTAAGGAAACCTTACCTCAAAAATTTCCTCGAGTTTTTCACCAACCACTTCATGATCTTCAGATGTGTCTTGATGCATGGCAGCCATATCAGGTGAGTTATATGAGAAAACATATCATAAAACTTATAAACAATGGATTTCTTTTCTCATTTCTATTGCATTGCATACTTATTAGACAAGTTTAATTTTCAATTAATCGTATATTATGAAGGTTCATTGTCACTTAAAGCAATAATTTAATACATTGCATCAACTATATTGGCCTACTTTGTTGCAACTGATATAATACACTAGGATTACAATTACTTCTATATAATCTTTGATACCTTAATTGAAACGGAACTCTAAGTTTTGGAGGTACAATATCTCCAAATAAGGCAGTTTCTTGGGCAATCTTTAGTAAGACTCTTCTCACAATTTCTCCCAAATACATTTTTGAAGTCAGCTTTTCAAAGATCTGGGACAAAAAAAGATCAGAAACAAATGAATTGATCTTATGGCCATAGAGACATTATAATTTTTAAATATATATAACCTGCCTTACCCGGGGACCAGGATTCGAGCTTCCAGCATCTAAAGAAGCATCATATTCAGTTATCGGGAGATGAAAGGAACTGAAGTTTCCCCATTCCTTGCTAATGACCTGCAATGCTAAACATAAAGATTAATATACTGTTCACCAAGGACACAAATTAGTTTACATTAATCGCTAACCATCTCGCCTGCTTTGGGCGATGGACCTTCCCATTTAGGGACTGCCTGTGGTGATTCTACATAAGCAGCATTTGTGCCCATTCCTACAGTAACAACAACCATAGTTTCTCTGTCATAGTATCTACCTCTAGCTAGATTTCCAATTGTATCATCAACCTGCTTAAGATCTTAGCCAAGATGAGCAAGAAAAATTCCTCATTTTTCATGTGGAACAATGTTATTATTGACATAACAGACCATTAAACATTTGGAGTTAAAAAGAATCAATTGGACAGAAGTAGTTGGTTAATTACCAATGCATAAACACGAATGTTCACACCATTTTTCTCCAAAGCTTGATTGACTTCAGCTACGAGCTTTTCCCAACCTGATTACTTATGTCAAGTTTCAGTTTAGGAGGACAGTAGATCTTCACAATTGATAGAGTTCAAGTGGGAAAATATAAAGGTTTCTAATTGCATGGCCATGATTTACGCTTGCCTTTCATAGACTTTTTGCACATTGAAAGCGAAGAATGTGTATTTAGATATGGAATCAGAACTAATAGTGATGCTACTTAAATCTAGAGGGGAATCTGAAATTTTGTTAGGTTTCCAATCAATATGCAAGTAGTACAACCGATGATATCCTTTTCCTACAAAGGGAAGGCCGCCTCTAGGTTGTTCTAAATAGGCCACCTTAAAGCAATAAAAATGACAAGTGTTCTGTTACCAATAAATTGAAGTTAAGATAAGCAAACTTAACTGCATCATTAACCGCAAAACTCTTCCATTTTATGGCAGACCCAGAGGTTGATGCAGCTTGCTCCACTGGATATGACAAGATGAAACCCAATTTCTTCTCTTTTGCTGGGCCATTGTCGTCCTCCGGATGTGCAGAAATTAATTTTTCTATCTCCACAGCCATGTTGTCGTATAATTCCTGAAGACCATCACGAATTCAGCAAAATTTTCATTCCCGACCACATAATAACTATCTTTCAAATGTAAACAAGAATTTAAAAGCAAGTACACAAGACAAGATGTCCAGCATCTGTTTTGTAATCAATATTTTTAAAAATATACCATTAAAATCAGTCCTGCGAAGTTCCAAGCATCACATTGGAAGAAGTGTGAATCTCCTCCCTGTGTAAATCAGAAATAGGCTCATCGTTCCCTCCAAGTCTTGCACACAAGATCAAAGAATTGGTTCCTCTCAAATTTATTCCATAGTATGATCTGTTTGATTTTGATCCAGAGTACAACGAAGAACAAACTTTTAGTACTTCAGCTGAGAAGCTTAAGAAGAAGGAGAAACAAAATGCACTTATTACACTTTTATACAAACCCGGTAACTATGGTCAAATTAACCACAGTTAAACTAACTAACTTGCTATCTAACTACAACAGTTTTAAACTAACTTTCTATCTAACTACAACAGTTAACTACTAACTAACTATATTTACCATTCAATTCAATACAGTAACTATAATACAATAATCCAAGACCCCTCCTCAAGTTGGTGGGTGATGAATATCCAACACTCCCAACTTGGACAGCAAATGGCGATGAAGAGCAGTAGGAACAACCTTAGTAAACAAATCAGCATGCTGATCTTGTGTAGGAATATGGACTGGATGCACTAAACCTACTTTAATCTTTGCACGAACAATATGACAATTAATGTCAACGTGCTTTGTACATTCATGGAAAATGGGACTAGAGGCAATGTGAATGGCTGATTGATTATCACATCCAAGAGGAATGGGAAGCTGCAGAGGAAATCCAAGATCAGTGAGTAATTGAGACAACCAAATAAGTTCACAAATCGTGGAGGCCATACCATGATATTCAGCTTCTGATAAGGATCTAGACACTTTGACTTGTCTCTTAGATTTCCAAGATAGCAAGGAGTTGCCCATAAAAATATAGAATCCTGTTGCTGACTTGTGGGTCATGAGGCAGGAGGCCCAATCAGAGTCGCAAAAAGCTTGCAACTGTAGTGTGCCATTAGTTGGGAAAAACAAACCTAAACCAGTAGAGCCTTTCACACATCGAACAATTTTGAGGGCAGTGTTGAGATGTGATTGTTTGGGCTTATGCATAAATTGACTGAGCAAATTCATTGTAAAACTCAAATTAGGTCTGGTGAGACACAAATATATTTATTTACCAATCAATTTTTGATATACCGATGGATCACTCAAGATAGGATCAGGTTGTCTAGAAAAAGCTTGATCATATTCCACATTAGTAAGCTTCAATTTAGGATCAAGTGGAACCAAAGTGGGCTTGGCAGTAGCTAGACCAGATACAACTATCAACTCCAAAGCGTATTTCCTTTAACAGAGAGTTATAACTATGGAAGAGCGAGCCACCTCAAAGCCCAAGAAATATCTAAGAGATCCTAAGTCCTTGAGCTTAAAATGAGAATGCAAGAGATTTTTAGTAGCCTGAATCATGGAATTATCACTGACTGTAATCACCAAATCATCAACATATACAAGAAGTATAACAATATGACCATGATGCTTCTTAAAGAAAAAAGAATGGCCTGAAGGGGACTGCTGAAAACCTCTTGTCAACAAGGTAGTGGCGAGTTTAGTGTTCCATGACTGAGAGGCTTGCTTCAAGCCATAAAGTGACTCGTGTAATATACAAACTGTTAGAGTCATGAAAGTGACTCTATTTTGGTGATAAAAATGCCCCATTTGTGATTAAATTGAAGTATATTGAGACAATTAAAGAATTTATGAATTTATTCACGAAAATCGCTTCCTAATATTTTTCTTATGAATTTAACGTGTTTGGAATGATTTTGGAAAATATATGAGTTGATATTGGGTTGTGGTTTATGGATTAAGGGTGATTTTGTCTCATTTAGTTAGGGAGGTAAAATTTCATCTTTTAAGGGCTGATTTTGTCACGTTTCAATTGTGTAGGGACTAAACTGATTTTTACACATTCTTCTATAAAAGAAAGTGCAGATCGCGTGAACAGGGGAGGCTGTTCACCCGATTTTTTCGCGACCCTTCGTCTCCCTCCGGCGACCCTTGCGTCTTCTCCGCGACGATTCATCTCCCCCTTGCACCGTTCATCTCAGCCACCGCAAGCCGCCATCGTGAAACACGCATCCACCGTGACTCTTCATCTTCCCCATCGTGATGTTTCGTCTTCCCGGCCAGTTTTGGCCGTTTTTCCGACGACGATTCGGCTCCCCAGGGTTGATCTTCATTCCCCACGGCCGGATCTGCATTCCCTAGCTTCGCCGCCGCGAAACCGCCGGAATCTGCAGTTTTGCCGTCGCGCCTCTTCATCTTCCAGGCCATCTTGCTCATTTCCGGCGACTCCTCACCTCCCCAGGACCTGATCTGAACTTCCCATCACCAGGCTTTCCATTGGTACCTTCGGATCCCATTTCCGCCACGTTTTCCGGAGACCCGCTGGAAAATTAACGTTTTCCCGGCGAACCGCGGCTGTTCGTATTCCGGCTGTCCTTTGGTCGTTTTTCGGCCCTTCTTCGCATCATATCGCTGTCGTTTGCCTCCTCTCGCCATGATCATCTTTTCCACTGTTTCACCTCCCGTCATCACCACCAGAGCGGCTAAGTTCCCGATTGTCCGTTACGTTGTAGGCGAGATCGAGATTGACTCCACTAATCTCCCTCATCAGCTCTCGACTAGTTGGATGAGCCCAAATGTTGGATATTTGGTTAATTTTATTGTATTCAATTATATTTGTTTTCGTTTCAGTTTGTTTGCGATACTTTAATATTATCTGATACTCGACGTTTGAATTGATAATGTCCATTGAGAACGTTTATTGATATATATTTTCGCATAATTGAATGTCGGTTTGAGATTATTAATGTTGATTATGACTTTAAATTGCTTCGGTACTAATTGCAATCAAGTTGTAGTAGCATTAATATCATTTCTACTAGGAATGCATTTATTGTGTAATTATTTGATTGGATGATACAAGTTAGTAGGTTGTACTTATTAACGTTGTACCAACTAGTGGTGTTTAAGTTTAGCATTTTCGTTAGTCAATGATAGTCTTTAACCAATCGATCTGTAACTAAGACAACGGGAGACATGATAGATTATGCCTAGATTGTCGGAGATATTTCTATTGATTTTCCTAGCCTTGTAGGATTAGGAAATTGAAGAGCGAGGAGAGGAATGTGAGAGTTGGTCTTGAGTCAAACCGAACCCGTAGCGACAACGCTTTAATATTGTGTTTTAGTTAGCAATTTATTTAATGCTTTTTAATTTCCTACAAGTAATAGTTTCCTTAGTTTAATCAATCATTCCGCCAATTTCTCTTTCGTTAACTCAAAAACATTAGGTCATTAGTCTTGCTCCCTGTGGATTCGATCCTGCTTACCGCTAACTACGTACTTAGGTTAATTTTGTGACCGTGCGACCGTCTAATAAAATTTGGCGCCGTTGCCGGGAGCAACGTGCTTTTGACTTTGTGTGTATTTGGGTTTGTAAATACTTTAAGTTTAATTTTCTATGTTATTTAATTTTCATTAGGACAGTTTCATTTCGTTTTGTTTTGATTTTGCAGGAAGATCGCCATTGGGAAACGTGCAGTGTGTCATGTGCATCAAAGTTTAAGCGTGACCCGATTGTGATATTTCTAATCTTTTTAGCTTTAGTTCTTTTTAGTTCTTGTTAATTGTTTGTGTGATGTTTGCATGTTTCGTGTTCATTTAGTTTGTATGTTTGTATTAGTTTTGCATATTGTTATTTTTAATTTGCTTTTAGTTCTTTTTCTTTTTCTTTTTCTTTTAATTTTGATGTTGTGGATTGTGGTGGAACCTTTGGTACACTTGTGATGAATGCTTGGTAGATATCATATCAACCAATTTTTGTACCCTTGGTTTGAAAATAGAAGCACGTAGGATGGATGATAATTTGTATCCCATGCACAACCATCTAGCTTCTAGGATTCCTATCATAGGGCAACCGCCTAGGAATGGTGGATTTTATGAGTTTTCTCCTTTGGACGATATAGACTCCAAGTTGGAGTCTTTAGCCTATCAATTTGACACGTTCATACTATACATGGGCAAGCTTCTAGGCAACCCACCTCCCGTAGGACAAGTCAGGTCTTTTCTATGCCTTCAGACCTTTTAGCTGTTGAGTACCATTTGAGGAACCAGCTCCCTTCACTTTTGAGAGTAAGTGCAAGATGCACAAGGTTTCCAGAGACGGAATGATCCGTATTCAAACACATTTGATAGTGAGTGGCATAACCATCCTAATTTTGCATGGAAGCAGGAACATCTCGAATGTCCCCATAATATGCCATATAGTTCTTCCAATCAACAGGGCAATTATTGGACATGTATTCGGTCCAACCAACCGCCAACCTAGGATCCCACCTCCCGTCCAACACGCCCACTCTCGGCCCATCCACTGGATCAATGATGGCTCAAATGCTCCAAACCATGCAAGAACAAAAGATGACATGAATGCAGGTTCAATGACTTAGAGCAAATTATCAGATATTACATTCCCATTCCCAATCTATTAGTAAGCTAGACCCAATAGGTCAAATAGCTGAAGTGGTTTATAAAGAGAGAGGAATGCCATTTGCCGAGTCAAGTTTGTTGATAATCCCAGGTGCAACTCACCAGATGGGGTGTCATGAACAAGCCTAGGCTTGAGAGGGAATTATATGCTGATTTGGAGAGAAGAAGCTTAGAGGGAAACCAAACCGAGAGGAGTAAAGGGAACCAACCATAGGTTAGGTGTGCCGAGACATGAAAACGAGGAAGTTGGGGAGAAAACCATCCCCTGCATTTGACATACCGATAGAACCTTGTCCTCAATACCTAGAGTCGAATAATGCATCCACTTTAAGAAAACTACTAGGATGGAGGAAATGGTTGAGTTGTTTTAGACAAGGGCTGATTGGTATTCCACTTCCTCGATGCCATTAAGCTCATACCTGCGTAGCCAGTTCTTAAAAGACTTTGTGCACATGGAAATGGCGTATTAAATTCAATATGCCTTCTTGGGACCTCGTGATACCCTACTTGTTGCTGATGGCGAGGGTCATGTAGACACCACCAACTTTCAACCACCTTGAACTTGATGTTTGCATTCATCTGGCTGAAGACTTAAAATTTAGCGCTAGTGGGAGGCAACCACCTTTTTAAATTTGTTTTTATTGCTTTTATGTTTTTATTGTTTTTGTCTTTGTAGGAATTGCCATGTTTGGAAACTCATTAACTAGTCCAAGGCTACGCTTACACATGCTCCACAACTCCGTTGGTGACAACCCCACTATGTTCCTCAGGTTGTATCTCTCCACCTTATATACTGTTATTGTTAGATTTCTTGTTTCTCAATATGTTGGACATTTTTATGTTATTTATCATATTGCCATTTGAGATCTTTTGATGCTAATTTGGGAGGATGTTTGTAGTTGTGGGTCATTGAGGACAATGACATTTTAAGTTGGGGAGTGTTGATTTGATTTATATTTTTGTGAAGTGTTGTGGATGATGCTTTGTGGAGAGTGTGCTAAATTTTTGTGGCATGATGGTTTTTTTTTGTTGAAAATATGTTGAATCTTACTCTTGTAAGTCCAAAAGTAGTTAAGTGAACTAAGTGAGTTATTTTTTAAAAATTTTCATGAATTCATGCTAATCACCATTTTAGAAGCAATTGAGGTGCTAGTTGGAAAGGTTTTGTGAGGTTTTTTGAAAATTGTTTTGTTGCAACATGTTTTAACATTGAACTATTGGTTCTGTGTTTGTGCTAGGTTTGTCCATAATTGTGGTTAGACACCGTTTTGTGTAATGTCATGTGGTTTTAATTGTTATGCAAGTCTCCCACATACTTTACATGCCTATGGGCAAATTTTCATTTATATACTTGCATGTGTTAAAAGTGCTTCAATGTTGCCTTGAAATTTGGTTTTGATTTGTAGCCTAGTTGACTCGAGTGAGTACCCGCAGGGGTGTTCTACACCTAATCCCCTAAGCTATCTACTTGGAAGTGGTTGGCCTAAAGCTCGTTATATGGCTCCTCAGAAAGCTTAAGAAGTCATTACATAGATCATAATTTTTTTTAAAAAAAAAAAAAAAAAAGAAATAAAGTCTTGACTTGTAGCCTATTTGGTTTGGATTGAGTAAGTTCGAGGATATTCTACCACTTAGTGGCCGCTATTCGCCATCTGGTTTGGGAGTCATTGACCTAAAGCCCGTTACACGACCTTCTAGAAAGCTTAGAAGTTAAGACAAGAAAAAAAAAAAGAAAGTGATGATGAAAAAGAAATTATATGTCAAAATCTTGTGTGGAAATGATTCATTATGTTGCGTGTACATAAGTTGGGGAGTTTTGCATGATATTTAACATCGTGATATGAATATGAAATGTGTGTTTGAGAAACTTGAATGGAGATAGGCAAATCTTGACAGAAACTTTAGTTCTTTATTTAGTTATGTTATTTACTTGTTATTTCAAATTCTTCCCTTATCTTTTGATGATATCTTGGTTTTTATGAATATGGTTGTGTATGATTTTTGTGAGAAATGTTGAAAGAGTTCTTTTACTTTACTCGCGACGCAAAAATAAGTTGGGGAGTGTGTTAGATTCATGAAAGTGACGCTCTATTTTGGATAAAATGCCCCATTTGTGATTAAATTGAAGTATATTGAGACAATTAAGAATTTATGATTTATTCAAGAAAATCGCTTCCTAATATTTTTCTTATGAATTTAACGTTTTGGAATGATTTTGGAAATATATGATTGATATTGGGTTGTGTTTATGTATTAAGGGTGATTTTGTCTCATTTATGCTGTTTAGGGGTAAATGTCATGTTTTAAGGGGCTGATTTTGTCACTTTTCAATTGTGTAGGGACTACAACTGATATTTTTACACATTCTTCTATAAAAGAAAATGCAGATCGCGTGAACAGGGGAGGCTGTTCACACCACTTTTCCGGACCCTTTCGTCGCCCTTCGGCGACCCTTCGTCTTCTCCGGCGACGATTCATCTCCCCTTGCACCGTTCCATCATCACCACCGCAAGCCGCCACCGTGAAACACCATCCACCGTGACGCTTCATCTTCCCATCGTGACTTTTCGTCTTCCCCGGCCAGTTTTGGCCGTTTTCTGGCGACGTTCGGCTCCCCAAGGGTTGATCTTCATTCCCCACGGCCGGATCTGCACACTTCCCTAGCTTCAGCCGCCGTGAAAACCGCCGGAATCTGCGGTTTTGCCGTCGCACCTCTTCATCTTCCAGCCAGATCTTGCTCATTTCCGTGACTTCTCACCTCCCCCAGACCTGTCTGAACTCCCA